AAATTGATAGATGGCTTTATAAGTTACATTTATTATTTTATTTACGAGTTACAATGAAACAGGTAATTTTAAAGTATTAACACATTTGCCACATTTAATTGCTAGTTCAGTTCTAGACAAAGTACCATTTTCATATTGTGTAAAATACTCCTTCGATTTATTATCACAATTGTTGTAAACTTTCAGCCTCTCGTTTTGTCAGATCCTTGCCATTGTTTCATTCATGAGTATTGTTTCTTTACAAAAACTTTTTCATTAAACAGTTAAATTCTATCATGAAGTATACAAAATGACTTCGTTAAAATTAAATAGCTATTGATCCAGGTTTAGAAAAACGAACTAGTTCATATTGATACGTATCAACGTATGAATATATCAGCCATGTATCAATTTCTTACGTTATCTTAATGACTTATATTAATATTAATTAGTACACAGATGATAGGAAAAAATGAATAGAATGCTAGAAAATAAACGGGACGAAACGAGAAGATACCATTCAAAGCTGAAGAAATTTAGAATAGTATGATATCTCTGTTTTGCTATACATCTTTTTTTCACAGTAGCGTGATCATTCTAATGACTTTAATGTCTTATTGATGGAAAAAAACAGAATGTTCCTGACATAAAAACGGTCATCCTGACAGACATTGGTGAGAAAAGATTGCTGGATACTGCAGGATAGACATGAAGAACAAAATCTTTTGTCTTTCAACCAACAAAACTCTGCCAGATCTCGTAGGAAAAAACTTGTGGATTGAATATGTCAAAAAGTCTTGCGATGTTTCTTACCTTTACGCAGGATTTTTTTCCATGCTGACCCTACATAAACTATGCAGAGTTCTGTCAGGACTGGCAGTATAAAAATCCTGCGTAAAGGTAAGAAAGATCGTCAGATATTTTAATACTGATAACCCGCGGGGTCTTGCATGAATTTTGATTATTTTTTTCAGTGGATAGTCGCAAAAAATTATTTTTTCTAATTTCATTGATTTTCTCACACAAAAATGATTTCCACAAACACATTTTCGAAAGAAACTGTAACGACTGACCAGAAAAAGTTTCTTGGTTCAGATATGCATGTTAAACGCTTTTATTTAAAATTGAACGTCGACTACTGCTTTTAATCTTCAGTTAACGGACTGTTCTAGCAACGCGTCATTGAGCAATAACCGAGGCTTCTTAATTGAGATCACTTTTTTCATAAAATCTGTAACATAAAAATTAACATCAAAGAAACATCACAGGGCGGGCAGCGCAAAATGAGAGTGAGTAGAAAAATAGTGATCTCAGTTAAGAATAAGCCGCAATAACTATTATATCTATTTAGAATATATATATTTATTAATTTTATTCATTTATTTAAATTTATCTCAACTGCATAGAGCAGATTTCTGTGTTTTTGTATTCGACATAAGATGCACATAATCCAAAGTTCGAGTGAAATTTTTTTTTCTACTTTATGATACATATTCTGATTTGTCGTTTCACGGTGATCATGCATATCGCCTTTCTAGCCTCGAAAACCCTTTTCTTCGTGCAGAAAATTCGAAATATTGAAAGGGTGTCAAAAACCCGGAAATTCTTCCCTACAGAAAAACTCGAATTTTTTCGACTTCATTTAACTTTAGACCTTTGAACTCTCATTTTCTTGATTCTATATTCAAAACTGAACAAGAAAATAGTCTTGAGACAATTTTAACACTATAGTGCGAAACACCTGTCCGTTTTCCTTATTTTCCATTATTTTTTATTTATTTAGAAGTTTCTCTTATCTTCCCTATATCAAACTAGAAAAATCAAGATCGGAAGCAAACCCATTCCCGAACCCGTTTGGACGAACTGAAACCCGTCTCCAACCCGAACCCGAAGAAAAACTTTCGGAATCGGGATCGGGTTAAACCCGCAGGACTCTATCTGAATGTCTGTCAAAAGACTTGTCGTTTTCGTTCTTTAATCGCTTTTTGTATGTGTTCGGGGTGTAACCGTCAAAATTTAAAAACTGGAGCGAAAACAGCTAAGCACAAGCGCAAGAACTCAACATTTCTTCTCGACATTTCTTCTCATTTTATTTCGAAAACAAAATAGGTAAAGAACTTGGACTTTTAACATTTTGACGATTTCGGCATTTTTTCGTACTAAAGGCATTTGAAAAACTTCATTCGTACAATAAACTTAAAAATGCTGATATGCGGACGCCTGTCGTTTGTTCGAAATCAAAAATCAGGGTACGTTGTTTAGCAAGAGTATTGTGACATAGGAAAATGTATATAAATGTATTCATTCGGTATGGGTTCATGATATCCTAACTCTTACAAAAGGATCAGTTTAGTATGATGTTGTATCAATCACAACCATTGCTAATCAGATTGAATTTTTGAATTCGATGATTCGCTGTGTCGGCTACAATTAGATTCCAATCCGAGTCAAATTTAATTGCTTCCGCATACGATAACTGATTTGAACCCTGGCCGAATGAACCACCAATGATTGTTCGACCTTCCTGAGCCTCCGGCAATTGTTGTTGAATACGATAATTATTACTGTCAGCTAAAAATATGCAAAGATATTAGTTTGAGGGCGTTACTGTAAAAAGGACATACCGATATACATATATAACCATTCTCATCCAATATAACTGATAATGGACACAAGAGTTGAGCATTACTAGATCCTGGGCCATTGCCACCAGGAANTGGCCGAATGAACCACCAATGATTGTTCGACCTTCCTGAGCCTCCGGCAATTGTTGTTGAATACGATAATTATTACTGTCAGCTAAAAATATGCAAAGATATTAGTTTGAGGGCGTTACTGTAAAAAGGACATACCGATATACATATATAACCATTCTCATCCAATATAACTGATAATGGACACAAGAGTTGAGCATTACTAGATCCTGGGCCATTGCCACCAGGAACGATTATACCAGTGTTGTACCTTTGAACCACTTCATAACCCTGTCGTTGCCAAAATCCGACACAAAAATGCTAGAAGTCCCATCGACGTAGATACCATGCGAATAGAACAGTTGACTAGTCGTATTACCATAACCGTGTCCGCCAGCAACAACTACTCCAGTCGTGGCCTTGTGTCCATAACATAACTCGATGATTATATCCATCCGAGATGTAAAGGTTACCGGCTGAGTCCACAAATAAAGCGAAACTGTTCGATATCTGGCTGTTATTTGAACCATGTCCGAATAAACCAACAATCGTTGTGCCATTGAGAGGATAAGAGCTTTCATTTAGCTGATACTTCTGAACTAGAAAGCTGGAATAATCAAGCACATACAGACTATTACAGCAGTCTGATTCCACACCGCTGTTGCTGAACATGAGCTTCTTAAAGAGGAACTTCCTAAGAAAACTGACTTCATAGAAAACATTTACGTATAAGCGAAAAGTAGCTGTACCATTGATCTTAGTTGTGGTTGTAGTGCGAGTAGCTGAGCTTGTTGTAGTAGTGGTAGTTGTTGCTAAACAAAGAAACAGATGAATAGCTTCATTTTTGTACCTAGTTTATCACTTCTACTTGATGTAGTCGTTGCGGTGGTTTCCATATTGCTCAATGTTGGTTGTGGGACTAGAAGAAGAAACGGAAGTGGAATAAGCTCAGTAATATTTCCAACCTACTTGTAACTAACATGCTCATACAAGTTTGGATTATCTCTATGCTTTTCACTTTTAATTATTGCGCGCTTAATTCTAAATCGATCACTATTTTATTTTGTAGGTTCTAGCTTTTCGAACATAATTTTTGGTGAAAGAAATTTGAATATACTAGTAGGGTCTTGTAACGTATTGTCGTATTTCTGAAGTAAAAAACAAGATAGGTTTAATTTAACCTTGTTGATTGAGTTTTTTCCCAAAAAACTCAATTTTGCCGATGATTCTTTGATTTTTTGGCCAAAAGAGATCTGATTGAGCTAATATTTTCATTGTAGCTAGTAATCATAGTGGCCATAATGATCTGAAGGTTTGAGCTTTACTGCTCATGTTCTCTTTGAAATATAAAAATTTCAAAACTTTTCATTAAATGGGCGAGAAAAAAAAGCTAAAATTGAGTTTTTCCCAAATAATCATACCATTTGATAGCACTTCGAGTTTTCTATCAACCTGTATATTCAAATTTTTTCCTTGCTCTTGTTCATTGGAAGAAAAATCGAGTGAAATGAAGGCACCCTCATTGTCAGATTCCCGACGATTGAATTTTACAGCTGTCTTCTGAATTATATTTTAAATAATGTATAATCTGCGTAGTTGTTTTTGCTGATTTCTGCAAGAAAATAAAGCGCGTAATGCGGGTAAATAAAGCGCATTATAAGTCTTAGTTTTGATAGAAACCACTACTTTGCATGGGAAAGATGGGACATCGAGAAAATTCAGGGCTCTAAACATATTAGTAAAGATTAAGGTCTGAATTTGTAGAGAATTGCGTGTTGTTCTAGAAAATGTGTTTTAGAAAAAGGAGGAAATTCGTCGAGTATCTGAAAATTATTAATTAAGTCTAATTACTTGTTTTTTGAAACTTCTGAAAAACTTGCAAAGTTCCGGTCGAACAGTGGATCAAAGCATAATTTATCATACCCCATTTTGAAAGAGTAATAAAAACACTTCTAGTTTCTACGATTATATAATTTCAAACGTATTCTGTTATAGGGAAAAATAGATTTGATATGAAAGAAACGATTGAAGAACACAAGTTGCAACAGCTTTTTTGACGACGTATCAAAGCTTTTTCTTCCTCAAAGTCAATCCCAAAAATTATGTTTTCTATATTTTTTGAAGTTCAAACTTTGCTCTTTCAACCAGAAAAAGAATGAACTTTCTACAACGTCCTTGAGCGGAGAATCATGGCTGGAGATTTCGGCAATTACTTTTGCATCGTAGGTTATTAATAATAACGTCTACAGTTTTTAAATACCAAAGTATTTTAAGAAAAGCATGACTTTTATAACATAACGTTAGAGAACGAAAAAAGTTTGGAACATAATGTTTATTTAGTATTTTCTCGTTTTAGTTACTTTTTCAATACCTATGTTATTCATTCTGACGCTTTTACTTCAATATATTTACTGAAGAACATGAAAAAAAATATTACTTTGGTCACTGTACGAAAACAAACGGTAACTATGCAAGGAAGACTGTTGAGAAATTGTAAAAACAATCGTTGTCCATCTCACGCAAACTTCTAAAGGAGATGGTATGTTACTATTGTGTTTCGTAAATTATGGCTTTTTTTGTTAATAACTAGTCGAATAGTTTTCTAATGGAAAAAAATTGTTTCATCTGTCATACTAAGTAAAACTTTGTGAACTGCAAATACTGAGTATGGCTTCATCTCAAGCAGTTAAAAGGAAGCTTGAGGAATCAATAATCAAAAAGTCCATTAAGGCCCCCTCCCCCTCAAAAAAGCCAGTTTTCGTCAAAAATTTCGAAATCGAGATAAATGCATGGGGAGATAGCCGGTCTTCTGCTCTCTCAGAAACACTATTGGTTTTTTCTTCGGCTCCCATTTTTGATAATTTCCATTAAGGCCCCCTCAAAAAAGTCGAATTTCGTCAAAAAAACGAAATTTTAGATAAGTGTATAAGTAAACGCTATCGAATGTGTTCATATGGTTTCTTGTAGAGTTTTTCACGGCGGATCTTCTGCAAAAAAAATCAAAATTCTACCATTTGCCTGCGCAGAGATATTTGCAAAACTAAACAATGTTTTTTCGAAAAATTTCTACTTCAAAAACTTGTTTCGCGTTTTTCTCAGAACATAGTTTCGGCGAAGTAGCTCCAATGCTACTGTCCCCCAGTACAATATGAAGCCAAATATTTTTTTTTGTTTCAAAGCTTGTCTCTAGGGCTAGCCGACCTCGTGGCCCTTTTTTCAAAATAAGCCTTTTATCATATAAGAGCACATCTCTCCGAAAAAGGCACCATTTTTTGGGGTTTTTTGAGTCATCAAACTTTTCATCCGTTTTTTTTCGCTTAAAAGGGTGAACTTAAAAAAAGAACCACGAGGTCGGCTAGCCCTAGAGACAAGCTTTCAAACAAAAAAAATAATTGTATATGTAATGAAGGGCCATGGAGATTTTTTGGAGATAAGATGACCTATTTTTGACCCGTGTTTTGCTCATATCTCTGTCAAATGTCAAGGTATCGAGCTGAAAATTTTACCACAGCCTTCGCACTTCAGCCCCAACATATGCTCCAAATTTTAGCCCATTTGTATTGACCAGGGCTGAGATCGATTTTTAAGGGGGAGGGGGCCTTAAACCACCACATATAGTATTTGATAAATTCGATGAAACAGGCTCGATGAAAAACCTGATGAAAGCCTACACTGTTATTTGGCTCGATGAAAAATATTGAGAAAATAAAACAACTATGTATCAATAAAATAAAATTACGTCATATTCTTGATTTTTTTGAAACATTCTGTCAAATGAATGGTTGTGAACAATTCATTGGAGAAATTCAGTACGAAAAGATCTTTTTAATCATTTCATGCAAAATGGGACGAGAATGTGTACCTCGCATACATGATATATGTTCATTATATTCTATTTATCTCTATCAAGAAATTGACGACAATTCGGAAAAATGGTATCATATGTATAAAAAAGTAACGAGAAAATGCATTCTAATTGCTTTTGGAACTGTCCAAACACCTTCGAAAATTTAATAGGTATTCAGCATCAAAAGTAGTATCCATATTCCATATTAATGCGAAAGAAAGAACAACTCAAGAACAAATGAACAGAAGTTGATTTCATTATTTTCTCGGTTCACTAATAAAAATAAAATCAAACGAAAGTTGCAAACAGAATTTTGTTGATCAATGTCGAATATATTATAGAGGTAATAGAAAGGTATTGAAGGCGATCGATGAATTTGACGAAACGTACGATTCTGAATATATGGTGGTATACAAGGGAAGGGTTCTTGTATCGTCTACTAAATAAAGCACTTCGTCAACAGGATCGTGACGCTTTAATTCTTATGCATTTTATTATTTTGATTTATATACGGCATTGCGAATAGATTGTGAAAAACTTAAAGAAATTGAATGGAATGTTCAAGTTTATTGTGGTCAATTAATGTCAAAAGAAGAAATTAACATATTAAAAGAAAACACACATTATTTACTAGCAATTAACAGTTTTCTATCGGCAAGTGTCGATAGGGATTTAGCATTAATATTTTCTGGATCTCCATCAAATTCCTTAGATGAAGATGTACAATCTGTTCTATTTCAAATTTCTCTCGATAAGTTGGAATTTGATAAACCATTTGCTGATATTACAAGAAAGAGTTTTAATGAAGATGAGAAAGAAGTCATTTTTGCACCCGGTGTGTTTTTCTGTACACATGAAGTCAAATATGACGAAAAGAATAAAGTATGGGTGATAGATTTTGAACCTATGGAGCTGAATAGTGATATAAATTTGATTTAGAGCAACAACTCATTAAACTTGAACTTCTGCTGGAAACATCGCATCTCGATGCAGTTCCAAATGATGACTTAAATCTTCAATCTGAATGGCATAAATTATCCAATGAATTAATCCTTATTGATTACGATGCATACATATACAGCATCTACTTTCAACCGAGAACAGATAACATCGATAACAAATTTGAGTTAAAGACGTTGCGAAAAATGCAACAGTTGCGAACTTTTCCAAACAATTGTACTAACGAGATCAGAAGCTGTTTATACGATTGTCTAGGAACAAACTGTGCAGACAGAAATAGTCTAACTGAAGCACTTGAATATTATGAAAAAGCAGCTGCTGTTGACCACACATCCGACAAAGAAGCTAGTTTATCACGAACTCTAAATATCGCTCGGATACATAAGATGAATAGTAATTTTGAAACAGCATAGAAAATGTGCAAAAATCTGATGAAAAGAGTTGGATTCAACGAACTTGCATTTTATGGTACAGTAGCTACAGCATCAGTAGCAGACTCATCTGAAATGTTGCAAAACTGAAGAAATTTTGTTGATTTTACCACTTTAAAAGCTAGAGAAAAGAAAAAATATTGGGAAGATATTCGAGATGCATACTTTTGGAAAACGGGAAATACTAAGTGCCATTTTTTCATTTTCGGCCATTTTGTGACAGCTGGCCTGGCATTGTAAAAGTACTAGGAGAAGTTTTTAATATTAATATATGTACTACTCGAAGTGCTCTTTCGTGTGGTGTGCCCAACGGTGGTGTAAGCTTTGTAGAGGCAGAGAAAAATAGGATCAAAGTTGCTTTATTAGAAAGAGGGCCGAAACTTGACATCCTTGAAAAGGCATATAGACTGTGACTGTTTTAGTGAACAAATATGGATTTCTATCTAACTTTTTATACTCTACAGGGAAAGAGTCTTGAATTTTTTTCGGCTCTTAGGTCTGTATAAACTGGGCGGACCTGAACGGAATTAGCCCAAATTTCTTGATGTCTTTTAACTCTCTTATTCGATTGCTGTGTAGTATACTTACTCTAAAGGACTTATACTTGATAGTTTTTGTCTGGGAACTACAAAAAGAGATGGACTGTGGCTTGTCGATACCACTGACCATCGTGGCAATATTTGTGTTTAGAAAAGCTTTTAAACATGTACAGAACGCCAGTTTTACGAAAATTGGGGATTTCAAGCCGTTTTCACCTAATGTTAAAAATTTCACAATTCACTCAAAAAACATCATAACAAGTTCAAACCTGCAGAATATACAGAATTCTGTCCGCTGGACATGATTACAAAGTCTGAAAAATTATGTTTTCGTCCTGAGGTTTTCTAGAAGCCCTTTCGGAAAACCAAAGGGTTTTAAAACTTTTTTTTATTGATTTATTACTAAGTTAATTACTAAGTTGAAACAAACACGAAGCGTATAAACCTGTATTATCGAAATTTCGTTTTCAAATTTCATATTTTAATCTTTCATATTTTGATTTAACAAAGCTTGTACAATGGTCTAACTTACGTGCATTAAAACTGCGTTGCCTTACATCCGAACAGCTTGAAACAATTCATCTAAAAAATTTTCGCTACTTATGTCAAAACTTGACTCAAAATTATTTTGATAAATACCAACAAATATTCAAACGAGTATTTACCAATCGGTTTTCACAATTAACTAATTATCATTTACAATACACGAATTTTGAATCATCATCATTAATAATAGTAATATCAAAACTGAGTTTAAATTCAAACTTTAAAAATTAATTCATGCTCAAAACATGATTTTTATTTTTTTCTGAAAACCTTATTACAATTAAAATCATTTGCTAATAACATGAAAAAGAACTGTCCGCCGGAACCCAATATTTTAAATTTGAAAATGCATTCACAACGCTAACGAATTTTCGAATGTCTGAATATTGGAACTTCTTAGTTTTTGAATTATAGAATTTGTGCATTTTGCAACTTCTGGAAGTTCTGAATTTCTGCATTCTGAAATTTCTCAATTGGATTTCCCGCATTATTGAATTTTAGATTTTCTGAACTTCTGCATTTCGGAACTTGGGAATTTCTAGGTTGGTCTCCGTGGATTTTGAAATTTCTCAATTTTGGAACTCCTTCAGTTTCTGAATTACCGAATTTTAGAAATTGTGAACTTGGAAATTTTGGAATTTCTTAGTTGGACTCCTTGAACTTCGCAATTTTGAAATTTTTAAACTTTGGGATTTCGGAGTTGGAGTCCCTCTTGGAATCTTATAATTTCGAAATTTTCAAAGCTTTGCGGTTTCTGAATTTCTTCTGAAATTTCTGATTTGGGCTGCGTGAATTTTGAAATGTTAGAATTTCTGAATTTGGGAATTCCTCAGTTGGACTTCCTGAATTTTGTAATCTCTGAGTTGGACTGTTTTTGCAAATGTTTGTAGCTCAAATCCATTACACTTCTGGAGCACCCTGCCAGAAGTTCAGAAACTCCAAAATTGCGAAGTTCAGGGCGTCTAATTCAGAAATTTAAAAATTCACAAATTCAAAAACTCCAAGAGTTCCAAAGTTCAGAAGTTCCAAAATCCAGAGAGTCCAACACACATATTCTAATTTTCATACGTAGAAGAAAAACTGAAAGATATGCGCAACGTGTGGAATGAATTATTTTTGATTATTGCTAAAAGTTGAAAGTTGACTACATTTAACTTAGATAATTTACACATACCGATATACATAATACTTGCCATTAAATTTACAACTATCCAGCAGATGTATTTATTGTTTCCAATAGTATAATATGAACAAAAACTGTCCTACTACATTCAGAATATTTGTTGTTGCATCAAATGTGTGGCCAAAATACAGTAGTTAAGGCTTCTCAAAATCTTAGTCATCTCAGATCATGCAGATGTCAAAATGGTTTTAATACGTGCGAAAATGTGACCGTTTTGGCTGTACACTGCTAGGTTTTTGAAATTTTGTGTTACTAATGAATGTAACATATTTTTCTCAAAAACTTCTAAAAGCTTTGAAGTGTGGTAGAGGTACTTGACTTTTCTCACATTTTGAAACACTTCGGCTCAGTGTCGTCAAAGCGACAATCAGAGATGCAGAATCTACCCGTGAGATTAGGAAATTTCCTCCGACGGTAAAAGATTACAATAAAATTTCCCCGGCATGAAACAAAAGAAAAAACAAAACAATGTGATTTATTGTTGCTAAAACTACTGCTTCTTCGTCCTATAAAAAACCTTGCTCTACATGTTTTTTTTGAAAAACGAGCCTAATGTTGTGCGACTAACTCTTTATGCTCTGCACGATGTCCGCATTAAAATCTTTGTTGTTGTGAGGGCTGTATAAAGTGGGCGGAGCTGTGTGGAAGCATCCCACTCTAACTTATATTTTTCACACGTCTACAAAACTAAATTTTACCGACACGCGTACCTAACGGTACTGAATATTTGTTTTGAAGGTATATATTATATATTGGTACTATCCGGACAGTTTTCCTAGCAGATATCCAAGTGTTGCTCCCCACTCTTCATTCACTGTAAAGGAGAAAATTATTTATAGAAAATGCTCGGCGAATTTGAAAGAATCCATAAATGAATTCATCGAGCATTTACTAGTTCATAGAAAATCGAAATTTCCAGTTCCTAGAAAATCAAGCATGAATTTCCATAAATAATTTCCGAGAAAACTGGAAATTCAACGTTGAATTTCCATAAATAACTCACAAGAATCTTTGCAATTGTCATGATATCGACAAAAAGAAACCGCCGCAGGCCAGGTCCTCTTCATTATTGGTATTTTGAAGCTTCTTGTACATATATTCACATTGTTTTTCTTATTAGAGACAGTAATTAGGTTTTGAAAGCACATAAAAAAGGAGATAGTCGCTAAAGGCTGACATAATTCTTCATTTTTCCAAAACCTGCATTGTATTTTGAAAAATTTTCTCGAATAAAACTTTTTTCCATCATCGACAGCGGGCGCAAACGGATAGATTCTGCACCTCTGGGGACAACGCTTCTCTACAGAAGATCCACATCCTGAGCTCTGGAGCGGCTAAACTAACGGAGCGTTTTGGAAAACTGTGAATGAGAAAAAACGGAAATACTTTTAACTTTGTAACACAAAGTTACACGAAATTGTTGAAAGTCTTGTTTTCGTGATACAATTTTGCTCTAGAAAACCAACGATATATTTTTGTGAACAGTGTGTTTTTGAAGAAAACCGACTTTTCTGACAGAATTCTCTTGATAAATAATCAGTCAATAGTTCATTCTTCCTTGTTTACTTGAGAAATGTTTTTGTTCGATTGTTTACAACGGAACAGGAAATATTAATCAACAGTGTTAAATTTTTTCAGTTGTTCATATATGATGAAAATACATTCAAACGGTTTCTTGAAGTCGCAAACAGATTCTAAAAATATGCTAGCTTTGAGTCTCACTTTAGTAGTCAGTGTTTCGTGCTTATCTACGGATAAATCATTTATTTATACGGTACCTTTACATCGACTAGTAGTACATAATATGTACCTTTCGCAAATATGCACCTTTCGTTATACTGAAAACAGATATCTATAACGAAAAGGTGTAGACTGATGTATTTATAGCAAAATATTACATAATAATGGATTAATTCTATAAATGCCAAGAAACTGGTTTTATTCTTAATTATGATTCTTCTTAGAATCTGATGAATACTCAACTGGCACGTCTGCACCACTTGTTGTGCAAGAAAGAAAGTTGAGAATATCTCTGACTCAGTTGAAGAGTATTTGAAACAGCCGATGAAAAAGAGCGAAGAATGAGTTCAGCACACTCTATGACTGATTTTTACGTTAGAACAGTAATATAAATTTTGAATGTTCTGCAATAACTTTTTGCGAAAATTTTCATAGCTGAACAAACTGACTGCTTTTTTCTCTTCTCCATTAAGTTCATTAATGTATCGGATGGCAACATTCTTCTATAAAAACGGCAATACTCTGATGGAAAAAAAAGTTGATCGTTTTGACAATATGACCTTAACTGTATCGATTTCATACCACTAAACATATATATATTGAACATATTCAGTATTTTCAGCTTACACTAATAACGTCAATTACCATTGATCTTGAATCATTTTCGTTGTTAATCGATGCTGAGCGGAATAAAGCAATTGATTCAAACTTAATACCATTTTGTCAATCATCTCATCTATCAGAATTTTCATTTGTTATCGACTCTATTATATGACGATATACAATAAAAACTGTTAGTTAGTTTCTTTTCGTTAGATATCATTCTGACCTTCAGCGTGATCAGTATTTATCTTGGTCTCCGCTCTCTTTTTGTTCTCCACAATGTCGAAATGTGGGGTCCTCTCTGCAAGTAAGTTCAAGTTGCATAAACCATGAAAACGTTTTGGGCTTACAAAGAAACGTCACCAAGACGTTTTCAAAAATCAAAAAGGGCGAGATTTCCATCTGTCATTTTCGTAAAGCATGCTAATTACCTCAATTAACAGGCTTTATACTTAAAGGCTAGGTTTTGTTATTCAAAGAAATTTACATTCGAATGTACGACAGAGCCTTTCATTATTCATAGTTTTTGGAGTAATATTTCTTACTGTCAATCCTAGTGTAGAGCAAAAGATTCAACACGCCAACCTTATTTCTTGCTTTTATTATTAGTCAGAAATTTTTAGACTGATTTCAAATATCACAGGGATTTTGTGAAAAAATGTTTGTTTGAAGAGAGTTTCTAAGAGTATCATGGAAATAAAACCGCTTTGCTTCACACTCTTTAAAAAGTATCCGTTAAAATAAGCATGCATCTGGATTTTGTTCATTAAATAGTAAGAAATTCAAATTTTTAGATGTTCCCAAATAGAACAATACAGTACGTAAACGGCCGTATTCGGCTAAATTACGGTGGTTTTCGGCCTGGAAGCGGTGATCGTATACGGTGCACCGTATTACGGTATAATACGGTGTCATATACGGTGTTTGTTTACGGTGCTATGCTACATAAATGAGCCGTATTCGACCACAGTATACGCACCGTAACTACGCCGTATCAGACAAGTACTTTTAATCAATAGTTAGGTACTATGAAATTATATACAGTCGATAGTTCTCGTTCGACTGCGTCTGGTAGTGTCAAGCTCTTTATGTTCCAATGTTCTCGTGAGCCGTTCCATGATGAAAATAGTACATACTCTTCCACCGTAAACTGACCGTTTTTAGGCCGTTTTGTCGACAAGTCATTCACCTCTTTTATTTCGCTTCCACTACTAGTGTAAATCGAACGCTGATTGTCTTCGAATATATATATATATATATGTCGAATTTAACTTCGAAAGTTTTCTCTTCCTCTAGTATATAAGTCATCGAATCTTGTCTGGAGGGAGTGGCCTTAGTGAACGGACCTGTACTAGTAATAGTAACACACTCCTGAGACTGGTAAACCATGGTTCAAAATAATCCAAAAAAAAGAAAAAAAGCATAATATTTTTCAGTTCATGACCAAAAATAATGAAATTTGAAATATATCCTTAAAAAGGCCTTTAAAACGGTAGAAATACGGTTTAAACGCGTCAACTGAAAAATTTACCATCACCACGCGTTTTCCCCTGGGACAACGTCGAACTTTTTTAATGCGTTGAAAACGTTTGTAGTTCAAAAGCGTTGAAAATATTTTTTGAAGAAATCGAAAAAATTTGGTCCAATTTGACCAGTATTGATCCAGAGCTTAGCCGACGCGTTTTTATGCATCAGAATAGATCATTGAATCGTTTAAACCCATTGAGAAGAACTTAAAATGCGTCGAAGAGCATTGAAAACGACAGAAGAATTTAGAAAGTTACGCTTTTACCGTGATTTGAACACGGGATGTCAGCGCAAGAGTCTGGGTGCTTATCTATTGAGCCATAATCACACATACATACATAGAATAAAATATCCATATATATTGAAATTTTTTAACGTTAAGCACAATGAGCTTAAAAAAAGGCTTTCGTTTATTGTCGTTAAGTTTTATCAAAATGGAAAACATTTCCAAGTTTTAGTTTTTGCTCTTTTTAATTCATTTACAGTCTAAAGGACCCCGTCGGATTTGACCCTAAATCTGCCACCCCCCTAGATTTCGTTCTCAATAGGTTAGAAAGGTAGAGCATTAAATTCTACACATTTCTATATATTTGTTTTGCTTTTTGTTGAAGACAAAAAAAAGTTTCAAAGACAAAATAGTCTGTGGACTATATATCACTTTTTGATATTCTAGGTAATAACTATGGTCACCCTAATTTTTTCCTTTGTAAATCTAGTATGAAAACTAATAGTCTATATCGATACAGTTTTTCATGCTCTACAAAATGATATCAACATATAAATTTTAAATTATTCTCTTTAACAGCTATAGGAATCAAAAGTATAAGACAATCTACAAAAATAACCATTATTTGAGTATTTTCAATATATTGCCAAGTTAATTTTTTGTTAATATCCATTTAAACAAAATGGAGACGATTATAGAAAACATCCTCGTGATTTGCTCTACAAAATGAGATAAGTTTGAGAAAAATAAAAATAGCCCCAATATAGAATATTCGATGATTACTTTTAAACATGTCCTTATTTTTATATTCACAGTAATATATTTATAGTTATATTATCACATATATCGTACATCGGCACTACAGTACAGATCCGTGCGGATACGTTTGAGGAAGGCTCTAGCTTTTACTTTTACCCAAAAACAATGTGTACAACTAACACCAAACTTTTCTCCGAGAAAAGACCTCTGAAACGCCACCCATGTTTCAATGACCTTAAGAGCCTATGAAGGTTTTCTATCGCACGAGGTTAACATTATCCTGAAAAGAATTCCATTGCAAATGTCTGTGTTATTATAACAACAAATTCATAATGGCCATGCTAGTATCAAAGACAGGCTCCTGTAAGTGAATCTACACTAGTCCTCATCTATTCAGTAGATTGGTACTCGGTACACGTACTAAGTACAGCCGTACTGAGCACAAATCCACTAGTACAACTGTACTAATACAAATGTATTAAGTACTATTTTACTAGTACACTTGTACTAGGTACAATTCAAAAGTACAATTCCAAGTATTTGTACTATGAGAATGTACTTAGTACTAAACAACTTTTAAGTAAAAGTACTATGTATTGCACTAAGTATCCAATCACCAGTATACAGTAGTACACGAATTGTTCTATGGCCTACTTTATAGCTCCATGAATCAAAAAGTAAGGATTCCCATTCAAATCACAAGTTAAAATATCGTCTTACTACGTAGTTGTTGGAGCTAGTGTCACTGGTTCCGGTGACAACGTGCATGTCTGAACTATATTACCTCCTCTTAATTCAACGAATAAAGTTCCATTATTATCCATTGCTATGCCACCCGTATATTCGATTTCGATAACTGGAACACCAATGCCATTCGTACCGGGAGGAAATTTGATGACACCTCTCGTAGCGCCGATGTACACCGTGTCACACGCGTCAACGTAAAAACCAATTGCTCTACCGTTTGTGTTCTGTCCGTTACCGGCCACAACTATGCCAATCGATGAACCAGACACAAAGGACCCCACCGGATTTGACCCTAAATCTGCCACTCCCTAGATTTCGTTCTCAATACTCTAGTGAGATAGAGCATGAAATTCTACACATTTTTGTATATATGTTTTGTGTTTTGTTGAAGAAAAAAAAAAGTTACAAAATAGTCTGGAGGCTATATATCACTTTTTGATATTCTAGGTAATAACTATGGTCACCCTAATTTTTTCATTATACGCTAGGAATTCAAAATCCGTTTTAATACATATCTAAATTCATTAATTTATGTTTTATGATTCAAATCAATACATGATCAAAGAGAATGCTCGTCGAGTTGTCCTAGTATTTCAGGATAAAACCGCTTTTATTGCTGACGGGTGAGTGTGTGTGGTGTTATTACGCCTTAACGTCGGAGCCGTATTTTCAATATATTTCCAAGTTAATTTTTTGTTAATACCCATTTAAACAAAATGGAGACGATTATAGAAAACATCCTCGTGATTGCTCTACAAAATGAGATAAGTTTGAGAAAAATAAAAATAGCCCCAATATATGGCCATTTTTCGATGAGCTAAATATGAGCTTAAAATGACTATCGAATTTACAGCCTATAATTCTCTCTCGGATGAGATATAGCTTGGTTTTGTACGTTAAGTAGTTATTGTAGAGAATTTGAAGCTCTACAAAGCCTACTGTTTGAGCCTGCGAACATTTGTTATGACTTGCCGTCCCCGTCAGCTCATAAGACTCTACTCTTGTACCATCCTTGCACCACTCTTATGTCATCCTGTGGTTTTCCTAACTCTTTCTGTTCTTGTGCAACTCCTGCGCAACTCTTGCAAAACTCTTGCTCAGCTTGTATACCATGTATACCCGTTCACTTGCTTCAAATAAAGATAGAGTGGGAGTTGGATCTCACAGTATTTTCTTCGGTTGAGCATATTGAAGGGTGCTGAGTTTTCACTCTTATTAACTTACATAGAATTCAATTCTACATCTTTTAATATGTAAACAAACTTTCTCAATTGAAACAATTAATTAAAAAATTAATTTAATTTGAAAAAATTGAAAAGTCGGTTGAGACTAATTATGAATCGAGCTGACATAGATATAATACGTACACGTACATCAGCGCCTCTGGTGCAGCAATGTCGTCGTTGTGTCACAATACTAACGGCGTTCGTACTGTCTGAAGTAAACATAAAACTAAACAGTTTTAGCCGAAAACATAATATTTATGACTTCTACTTCGAATTCTACACTAATGTCTGTGTATTCAATTTTTAATCAGGTGTGCTTTACTGATTACAATCTAAAACGCATTTTGTGATTGAACAATAGTATAAAAGCATGATGAATGAATTGCAACAATCACGATTAGTGTGTTTATTCACGAAGAAAATGACGATAATAATATTTTAATACTGCTTTAAATTCATTTCTATAGATTTTCGATGGTACAACAAAGATCAGAAATGTTGTCATCGGCGGTATGAATGAGACGAAATAACCTGCAAAAAATAGCCATATTTGTCGTTGTGATTTCATGCAACCTGAAACGATAGAAATAATTAGACGAGGCAAAGCAAGGATGGTAAGAATTGATGGGCTAATCAACAGATGTTGATGTTGATGAAATTGATGTTTCAGATGTTGAAGATAGGTTAATCGCGTTTGTGATGTTGATCGGTTTTTTGCTGTTATTATTATAATCGTTAAAGCTGATATAACATTGATACAAAATGGTACAATAAAATGAAATACATTTAATGATGAATTCATCCAATTTAACCATGGTACATCCTGATAAGTAACAGTACACCAATGACGCTCTTCCTGTTTATCATCAATCAAACGACGATTTATTGGATCATGAATTGAACTGACAATTGTCATTAATACAACAATAAGTGTCACATATTTAGCCGCCCGTTTACTTTTTTGTCGATTAAACGATACACCTACAGATTATGATAAAGGTAATATATATAAAGAGATTATTGAAAAGTAAAGTTTAAATCTTACCAAATGTAACGGTAACAGTGCGTTCAACAGCCACGCAAGCATTTAACCAATCAACCATTGGTGGTAGAAATTTAAGTAGAAATTCAATAAGACGACAACTAACTTGTAAATAAGTAGGACTTGTTATTAGGGACATTTGAGTGAACAAGAGAAACCAAAATTTTATTGTAAATATTGAAATTGTTATTAGTGAAATAATTGATGATAATAAAAGATAAAAACCGCAACCAATTTCAGGTATTGCCTTTTGATTGAACGTGATTATAGATAATATATTCAAAATCATTCCAGTTGAAAAAATACAAACTGTCAATGCAATACTTAATTTAACAATCAATGATTGTTTTGTTAAAGATAAACGAGATTGTATATGATAACCGATAATTGAACCTAATGATAGAACATGACCTACTGTTGTTAATTGACACATTGTACCAAAATAACAATCTTTACAAACACATATTGATTGTGTTGGACATGTTAAATGATTTTGAAAACATTTTCCCTCATTCAAACAATAATTATAACCTTGACAATCATATGTTGCATTATGATCAAATTCAAAACAATCCGTTTGATGATCTTTTGTACACAGACACATTTGTCTTTCATCATAAAAACACTTAACTAATTGATTGTGACACGGTTGTTGATAATACTTAACACGTTTTAACCATTCATAAGACAAAATTGTTGAATTAAATAATTCATGAATAGACAGACAACGATAATTCGGTAATAATTCTGTTGTAATATTCTGCGGTGCATTATAATTCTCATCTATTAAAATAATTAAATAATAATCATATTTATATTGTACATAAACAATACGATAATTTATTTGATGATATATTGTTATAATACTATTATCAATTGTTTGATTCAAATATAATTTTTTAAATAATGTAACACGTTCCGGTACTTTTGGATTAATATAATCATTTATAATAAAATGTATTAACATAGATGATGGTAATTCAATATTAATATTTGAAAAGAATATTTGTACTGTTGTTTTAGAAAATTCACATCGATTACCATGATAAGTTTCTGTACATAAACATTGAAATGTATCTGGTAAATCTTTTTTATTATCTGGTATACATATACCATTATTTTTGCATGTATTTAACTGACAAGTTTGATCTGGTATATAACATTTTGATCCTAATTTATTCAATGGACAAACACATATTGATTGATTATATTGAGTAATACCAATACATAATGAATCAGGAGAACATTGACAATGTTGATGTTGATATTGACACCATTTTCCTGACCAACCTTCATGACATCGACAGTAAAATTTATCAAGATTATTCATATACTGATATGATTGACCATGTTTACCGCAATTAATATGATATTTGTCTGAAGTTTTAACAGGTATTGTTATGTCGATTACCAGTCGTTGTATAGGTAAAAATTGAAATTGAATTGAATGATACCAACTTGAATAATAGCGTATTTCTTGTGTTTTTATGTTTAAATTATACGCATCAATACGCAGTGAATAATTGATACTTTCTAATTTTGGTCGTCTATCATACAATAAATATACAAATTGTTCTTCAATACATTGATATTTAATTGAATCATAAGAATAAATTGTATTATGATTTTGATCATCAATCAAAAACAGAAATAATTTAAATCGAAGATTATCTTCAAATGCACCGATTTTACGTGTTCTAATTGTTATAAATAGTCGTTGTGATTGATACTGACAACGATCACCATAATATTGTGGTGAACATAAACATTTTTGTTTTGCTGTTGAATGATAAACAAGAATACCATCATTACAATACCAGATCAAATAAGCGTCATATTTTTCAATATCTTTATTAAGAATTTGTTTAACACTTGGTTGAAATGATGTTGACGTATATTCAATTAATTTTCTGTTTGATGGATATTCTGTAAAATGTATTGTTGTAAAATGTACTTTTATTTCATTACTTGATTGATCAATTAAATCCCAAAATATTAAATCTTCACGTTGTGAACATGTTGAATGTTGAGTCAATTGTGATGGACGAAAGAATGATACATCATCATTCATACATATAAAATAACCGATATATGATAGTGTTGTTTTATTTAACCATAGACATGCTAAATATTCATCATCACCTAAAGGACAATCTCGATTAAAATTACATAATTCCATAACACTTATACATTCTGATGAATTTAAACAATGATAACGACGATCTTTTTCATTCAAATATTTATGTTTACAATATTGTCGTTCATCTGTATCGAAAAACCGATAATTTGCGATAAAACGCTTATAACTTTTGATAGAAGCATCCGTTTGAGCTGCGATTTGTGCCATTGGAAAGAGCGTCAATCAGTCTATATGTACATATAAAATTGTATATAGGTTGTATATATAGAATATGCACAAAAAGTTTTGCAAGCGGAATATCAGGATGCGCAAAGTGCACTTTTCAAAGTCGATTATATCCACTCTCGTCCAAAATTATTGAATCAAACATCGGGGCTTTTGTAGATTGGTGGTCATGAAAAATCAGTATTGCTCGAAAGGGAGCCACAAAAAGCAATAATGAGTCTCGTGAAGACAAACAGTATGATCGCAACCGTCAAAAATTTATGGAAAAAGGTGGCATTCCTATTAAATGTACAAGGGTTTTAGACCATGGAGATAACGGCTATATAGTTCGTTTCTCTACAGCGGCTCGTCAGCTCAGGTAAGGTGTTCCAATATGGCACCCGTCCTTTGACACTCTTTTATTATTGGTCAGTTTAATGGCAGAACAAAACTTTTCATTTCCACTGAAATAACTCCTTGCTCTACATAGAGATCTCTCTGTGACGAAGTCTGATTACGTCATATTCTCGAAGAAAAGTCCGAGTAAAACACGGTGTAATCAAGACTGAAAAGGGGATCCAAAATTCTTCAAAATACGAAGGAAATTATGTCTAACTTCCTTGTAGCAAGGTTTGAATTCTCCGAGGTATGCACATATTTTTAATTAACCGTTCTAGAAGGAAAAAATGAGTCATTATCTTTGATGTCTTCACTGTTCCTACGCTCCCGGCGAAATTATTTTGAATAATAAATAGGTCTAATGGACTCATACCGAATTTTCAAGAAAATTCGATCTTTTCGAATTTTTTCCAATATATACTCGTTTTTTAAAATCTATTAAGCCGTGATGTAAGCGTCACTTTGACTAAATTTATTGAGGCATTCTAAGAGTCATTAGGCCTATTTATTGACAAAGTTTCAGATCGAAAGTCATGCATTCAATTTTTCTGAAAATACATTACCACAGGTTAAAAAAACAGAAAAACAATCATAATTCAGAAAGAAAGGCCTGTAGGGGCAAGTGCTTGTCAGATTTCTCATACTTCCTCAGGGTCTACTTGTGGGCAAAATATCAGTTCGAAAGGCGCCCGGCACTTGGGAAGGTTCCCTCGTAAACAGTTATTATATTTCTGCTAAATTTTATTTAGATCTCGCAATATTTGAGTGCATAAACTCAATTAACGCGTCAAAGAAAGTAGTGAATCAATAATAAAATGCTTACATCCGACAACAGTAACACCATCCGTTGCTCCTTGTGGCCAATAGAGAATTCTGTTGTTACTCGCATCAGCTATGTAGAGATTTTGTTGTTTATCAACACTAACAGCGGTTGGATAATTCAATAGATTTAATGCACACCCTGAAACTTGACTAGTACCAGCAACAGTGTTTATGATTGATGTATCATTGGTTAAAAATTGATATTGTTGAATACGATGGTTTTCTCTATCGGCAATATAGAGTAAATCCGTTGCTGGATCAATAAATAAACCGTGTGGTTCGTTTAACAAAGTCATTGTCCCTCCCGAGATACCTGTTGTGCCAGCAACTGTCACTCCTGTAGTATTCCATTGGGGATAACCTTCAAAAAAGACACAATGGAAATCCTGATGAGAAAGAGAAAGAAAGGTTGCTTCGGCGGGAGTTTGAAAACTTTACCGAAGGTAGCATCCGACATTTACAAAGATAGTTCTCGAATTGATTCCTTACGATACATTTAAAACGTGCATAAAGGCACGTTGTTGTGCATATTCAGCAAAATTACACCGTTTTTTCTATTGAGAATAAAAAGTCTTGAGCACTTCTTGTACAACAACAAATTCGTTTTAAAAATCTGTGTCTTGTATTTTCCTCACAGGAATAAATTCACGAAGACGAAACGAAGGTCTGACAGCAGTACACTTAGAATATGCACTGAATGCTTCAATCAATGCTATATCTTACGATCCTACAACTCCTCTCCAAGCAGAACAGTACAGAATGCTATAAGCCAGTGTTTAATTCCTTTCAAATTTCAAAGCATCCTCTACAAACACCTGGAATTTCCAAACGGTCATCTAGTTTTGCTAGTTTTTATTATAGGTATTTCAATCTCTGAAAGTTCGGTTTTTGTTTAATGCTTTCTTTTTAAGTTATAAAAATCCAGTGCTAATCAGATTTGATCAGTCAGACAATATTTCGACAAAGAAATAATCCAAACAGCGGGGCCAGCTAACGAGCATCCTTCTGATCAGAAGGTTTGAATTTTTATTTTCACTCAAGTAAAGATTAAAAATGTATCGTTAGATGCAGGTTTTCGTGCTAAAGTTGAATTTAGCAGTTTTTTTAAAAGTTTAAATTTAAATCTTTTTAGATTATAAATTTCATTTCCTGACATATATTTTTTTTTTGGAAATTCTGTAAACTATACCATCGGATAAGGGACATATTAAACCCTCTATCTATGTGCGAATCAGAGTTTGATAAGCGTCCTATGACAGCAAAAATATATACCAAATCATCTGCAAAGACGAGCAAAAAAAGATAAAATTTGATAACGGTCACTTTTTTTTGTTTTTAAGGAAACGTCTATAGTGACTATAATAGCCCATAGTGTGAGCTTTAATTTCAAAATTAATCTGTCGCTGACTAATTTACATTTTACAGCAGTACCCAGAAAAATCATTCCATCTTTTGAAATTCCGTAGCGGTCTCTATTTTGATAAGAACTTTTGATCCGCTTAGTCAATCAAGCTCAAATTATTTTTCGGCAGTGAAACCTGCTAATATCCATCGAGAAATGTTGTGAAAAAATGAAATTCCGTAACGTTTCGTAACGCCACAAGCGAACCCTTATCATTACACCCATGAGGACTTTTCCGATAGAAAAAGCATCTTCTCCGCGATAAAAAACTTATCGTATCCGTTGTCACACTGCGATATGTCGGGATAAACATTACAGAGCGATATGTGTCGATGCTTGTTTTAGATAGATATATCCCAGTATATCCATGCCTCAGCGATGCATCCCAGTGTGACAACGGATGTGATAGATTTTTTATCGCTATACTTTCCAACAACGAGTACTATCCAGGTCTTGATACCAATCTATTACGATACATCAAGATTACTCATTGATCGGCACGTGTTGCGCTATACATTTTTATTGCGACATATCGGGGTGTGACAATGGATCGGATAATTGTTCTATCTAGATAATATCCGTTGCAGTATTATTTTAATATATCCTGATGAAACATGGTCTCGTGGTGTCTAGTGATACTAATATATTAAAATGTAACAAGACGAACGAAAGAGAAAAAACGAAAGATAAGCATATCGTTGTTGCTGTATGTATTACAAAAGAATGTGAGAAACGGTTTCTCGGTTTGCTCTATTACATTGTCGTTTCTCACATTCTTTTGTAATACATACAGCAACAACGATATCCTTATTTTTCGTTTTTTCTCTTTCGTTCGTCTTGTCTTTCGTGTTAATATATATATATATCGCCCTGTAATGTTTATCTCGACATATCGCAGTGTGACAACGGATACGATAAGTTTTTTATGGCGGAAAAGACAATTTTTCTATCCGAAAAGTCCTCATGGGATATGATAAAGTACGTATACATATTCAACCATGGTTGAATGTGTAGTAGTTAGAGTCAGACGGCTTTTTTGTTAGTCTTCGTCTTTTTTTATTATTAATAAAATATACATATATATGTATGTAAGGCGCGCGTAATTCAAAGTTTAAGCACATTGGTAGGCACACAGCAGACCTTAGAATTGCTCTCAAAAAACGTTCAGTCCAATTAACTGTAATAAAAGTTCTGCTACACCTCCTCCACCACAAACAGAATATCTTAAATACTATATATTCTGAAGTTTTGAGCTTGCTCTGATGTATTTCGTCGAATCAGGGTTTGGGTTTTGTTGAAATTGGTGACTGTGTGTGTGTCTGACGGACAGGTGGGTATGTCTGTTGCTGTATATCTGGTTTCGTTGTCGCTGTGTATCTTTGGTGGGATTGTTGCAGTACCGGTGGTTGCTTTGGTGCCACACCTGGTAGTAGACGTGTGT